GAGAACAATCATGGGAGAAAGAAGGGCTGCTTATGCACAGGGAGGCAGCTCAGGGGGCAGGAGTGCATGGAAGGATGGACACAGGAAAGAGGTAACTATGGGGAGGAAGTGGGATGGGAGCTGTTGCATTGTGGTAAACTGTGGTCAGTGTCATGAGACAAAGTATATGTGAACTGCTGTATGGAAAGTGAATTTGCTCTGTAAATCTTCACACAAATCACAATTAAAAAAAAAAAAAACCACTATGGGGCAGTTCTACTATGTCCTATAGGCCTCCTATGAGTCAGAATCAACTAGATGGCAGTGGGTTTTGGTTTGGGTTGTTGTTCTTGAACCATTGGTTCATTGGTGGTGGTAATGTAACCTAAGAGCTCAGCTCCTAACCCAAAGATTTGCGGCTCAAACCCGCCAGGCTGCTCCATGTGAGAAAGATGTAACAGTCTGCTTCCTCAAATATTTACAGTCCTGGATACCCTGTGGGGCAGTTCTACTGTGTCCTATAGGATCACTGTGAGTTGTCTAATGGGGAAAAAGAGACCCCAGATTCAAACAGGTTCAATAGAGACACTTTTATTAACCTTTGGACAGGACAAAGACAAAACAAAGATAATCATCCTAGATAAGGAATATGATCAGCATGAGAAAGCTGAATGGAATCCACTGATCCATGGTGATGTGGCTAATTATATTGTTGTTGTTATTTGCTGTCTAGTCGCCCCCGACTCATAGCGACCCCTCCTTGGGTTTCCAAGGCAGTATCACTTCGGAAGTAGGATTGCCCAACCTTCCTTCCGAGGAGTGGCTGGTGGGTTTGAACTGCCAACCTTCTGGTTAGCAGTCAGGTGCCTTAGACACTATGCTACCAGAGCTCCTAATTATATAGGATTTTTTAAAACAAGGCAGTCATCACAAAATCATGATTGATGGTAGATAAGAGTTGTCACCGTTGCAGGCAGGACTACAGAACCAGGGGAAAGACCATGATTGGGACACGTACATAATTGAGATAGAAAAGGGTTACAAGATTGGTTCAGAGTCTTGACTACCCAGCCAGTGTGGTGGTCCTGGATAGGCTGTGACTCATGACCCTGCAGCCTGAGTCTTAGCTACAAGGTGGCTACCAAACAGTACCAAGACCTCAACCTTTATTTCAATTAGAAAAAGACACTCTCAGGCACTTTCCCTAGTTTCTTGTGTGAGTAGAATCTACTTTCAACCATACTCCTCTTGAACAGGGAGCTCTAGTAGTGTGGTGCCTAAGGCACTTGACTGCTAGCCAGAAGACTGGAGGTTCAAACCCACCAGCCATTCCTTCGGAAGGAAGGTTGGGCTATCTACTTCCATAGTGATATCCCCTCAGAAACCCAAGGAGGTGTCGCTATGAGTCAGGTCTGACTCGAGGACTTGACAGCACATAACAACAACAACAACACCTCTTGAAGAGGAGCTCTGGTGGCGTAGTGCCTAAGGCACTAGACTGCTAACCAGAAGCCTGGAGATTCAAACCCACCAGCCACTCCTCAGAAGGAAGGTTGGTCAGCCTACTGCCATAGTGATACTGCCTTGGAAACCCATAGAGGTTTCACTGTGAGTTGGATCTGATGCCACAGCAGTGGTTGCTTGTGTTTTTTGCCTCTTGAAGGCAAACTGCCCCTCCCTAGGTTTGTCCTAGAACTTGTCTGTGCGTAGCCATTATGCTGGCTTAATGGTCAAAAAGAACCCAAATGGTGTCTGAAACTCATGTCAAGCCTCAAAATGGAGTTAGGGCTCCCACTGCAAGAACACCACCTAGCCATATAGTCAAGGCCCAGAACCAATCCTGTAACTCTTTTCTACTTTCAATCATGTACGTATCCCAATCATGGTCTTTTCCTTGCTTCTGTAGTCCTGCCTGCAACAGTGATGAATAGATCTGCCACTGACCATGATTCTGTGATGATTCTCTCTCTCTCTCTCTCTCTCTCTCTCTCTCT